ATCTAGCTGAATGAGATTCCTCATCTAGCTGAATGCTGACTCCTGCTGGTTCAATGGACGTGCTGTGATCCTTAACATGACCCTGAAGATAGACCCCCCCCCCAATAAGCACCTATGAAATTACATAAACATCTCTCTGCCTTATGCACTATTTCATCACAATGTACCATCATGGACCAGGCATGGTGGCTCACACTTGTAATCCCAGAATTTTGGTAGGCTGAGGTGAGTGGCTCACTTGAGGCCAGGAGTTTGAGACCAGCCTGGCCCACATGGCAAAACCCCGTCTCTACCAAAAATACAAAATTAGCAGGGTGTGGTGGTGATGCAGGCCTATAGTCCCAGCTACTCGGGAGGCTGAGGTTGCAGTGAGCTGAGACTGTGGCACTGTACTCCAGCCAAAAACAAAAAGAATGTACTATCATGAGTCAGTAATATTACTGAAGAATGTTTCTGTTTATTTTAGAGATGGGATCTCGCTCTGTCACCCAGGGTGGAGTGCAATGGCACGATTACAGTTTACCGCAGCCCTGAACTGGGCTCATCTCCCTTCTCAGCCTACTGAGAAGCAGGGATTACAGGCACGTGTCACAATGCCCAACTAACTCAGGCTATTTTAAACTCATTTGCATGGGCTTTTTTTTTTTTTTTTGAGACAGAGTCTCACTCTGTCTCCCAGGCTGGAGTGCAGTGGCATGATCTCGGCTCACTGCAACCTCCACCTTCCAGGTTCAAGCAATTCTCTTACCTCAGCCTCCCGAGTAGCTGGGATTACAGGTGCACACCACCATGCCAGGCTAACTTTTTCAATTTTTTTTTTTTTAGTAGAGACAGGGTTCTGCTGTGCCGGCCAGGCTGGTCTCGAACTCCTGACCTTGTGATCTACCCGCCTCAGCCTCCCAAAGTGCTGGGATTACATCTGTGAGCCATCGTGCCTGGCCTGCATGGGGTTTTTAACACAAAAATTAAACGTCCCATTCGGTATTCTCACCCATCATGAGATTTAGGAACAGTGAACCCCAAAGCATTACTGTGACAAACTTTTCCCACAAAATGGAAAGACAGCTCAAAGGTACATGAATGAAACTGTCCCTCTTCAAAACTGTGCATAAAATCAGCTGCTAAATAGAAAACTTTTTTTTTGGACACAGTCTTGCTCTGTCGCCCAGGCTGGAGTACAGTGGTGAGATCTCAGCTCACCACAACCTCTGCCTCCTGGGTTCAAGCGATTCTCCTGTCTTGGCCTCCTGAGTAGCTGGGATTACAGGTGTGTGCCACCACGCGAGCTAATTTTTGTAGCAACAGGGTTTCACTATGTTGGCCAGGCTGGTCTCAAGCTCTTGACATCATGATCCACCCGCCTCGGCCTCCCAAAGTGCTGGGATTACAGACGTCAGCCACTGTGCCTGGCCGATCTTATTTATTTATTATTTATTTTTTGAGACAGCGTCTCACTCTGTTGCCCAGGCTGGCATGCAGTGGTGCAATCAGAGCTCATCACAGCCTTCAACTCCAGGACTCACATCCTCCTGCCGTGGCCTACCGAGTAGCTGGGACCCCAGACACCTGCCACCATGCCCAGCTAAAGTTTGCATTTTTTGTACAGACAGGGTTTCATCATGTGGCCTGGGTTGGTCTCAAACTCCTGGGCTCAAGGGAACCACCCACCTCGGCCTCCCAGAGTGCTGGGAACACAGGCATGTGACACAGTGCCCAGCCGAAAACTTTATTTTTTATTATCACTTTATCAAATGAATTGCCCCACACTTATTAGCAAACCCTAGGCACCTGTGAAATCATTAAGCATAGCTCTGTTTCCAGTCTAATTTTCTTCCTGAAGTTTACAGCTCAACTCCAATCCAGCATGAGGTCAAGTGGGCCCTGCAGAAGCAGCAAATCAATACAACACATCTAGGAGAAATCCTATCAAGTCCCGCCTGAACATTTGCAACTTTTACTCACTTTAAAACTGCTGGGATATCCAGACAGGACTCATAACAAGATAAGGAAGATTCCTCATTGTCTGCCATTTCTGCACAGGGAAATTTTTAAATAGTTATATTGTTCTTTATACTAAAACCTTACATTTCAAAAATTCCTGTTGAGCTTCCCCAAAAAGGGCTTCCAGAATTAGGAAGTCATGTTTTACCCATATACTAAGTAGAAAATAAAACCTAATAGTCTTTTAATGCATTTCAGGTTTGCACATACAGGGTCTCAGTCCTGTTGCCCAGGCTGGAGTTCAATGGTGTAATCATGGCCCACTGCAGCCTTGAGTTCCCAGGCTCAGGTGATTCTCCTACTTCAGCCTCCCAAGTAGTTAGGACTACAGGCACACGCCACCACACCTGGCTAATTTTTTGTACTTTTAATAGAGAAGGGATTTCACCATATTGTCCAGGCTGGTCTCAAATTCCTGGGCTCAAGTGATCTGCCCACATTCTTCTCCCAAACTGCTGGGATTATAGGGGTGAACCACCATGCCTCACCTAGATTTGAGCTTTTAATAACTACACTATAATATTTGCATTAAAAATTAATAAAAGCAACCCAAATTTTTGCACAAAAACAAAAATCAGACTATTTTAAAAGACCAAAAAAAAAAAGAAAGAAAAAAACCCCAAAGTGAGCTCATTAAGTGTGTGTCCACTATGTATGTCCACTAGTGATACAGCGATTCAGTGTGTAACAGACATGAAGGAACTGGGGAAAAAAACAAATCTGCCAAAGACCCTAACCACTTACATTAACACCTAAAATCTGTTTCCTAGCTAGGAGTATCTTGCTGAGCTCTGCTTGGATGTGATGAGACAAAGGCCCTCACGTCTCCAGCTGTCTTAGCCTCAGGCGGCCAGGCAGCAGGATCTGAACACCACCTGATGTTTATGCCACCACTTGCAAGGCAGAACAGTGAGAGATTCTAGAACTCATAACTCAAAGTCAATACAGCAGTGATTTACCTATTGGGAAACTGTTCTTAGTCAATTCTTCGCTGGATTTCCATTATCTGCCCTTGTCCACTACAGCTCAAGCAATGAAAAACTGATGCCATGGCACTGCCTCACTCCTCATCTCTAATCCCTGGCTGGCAGGACCCCCAGTGTGTGAGAGAAGTGCTGCTCTCCTGAGTTCCCTAGGTAACTCCTCGAGTGGTCAGCGTCTTGGTGTCCAAGAGGAAGAGGCTGGGAGACGGCTGGTAATCAAAGCACTCCTCCTCCGTCCATGACCCGCACTGAAGGGTTTCTCAGTGTGTGGTTCAAAGTCAAGTCACGCCAGACGTGGTGGCTCAAGCCTGTAATCCCAGCACTTTGGGAGGCCGAGGCGGGTGGATCACAAGGTCAAGAGATGGAGACCATCCTGGTCAACGTTGGTGAAACCCCATCTCTACTAAAAATACAAAACATTAGCTGGGCATTGTGGTGGGTGCCTGTAATCCCAGCTACTCAGGAGGTTGAGGCAGGAGAATTGCCTGAACCCAGGAGGCGGAGGTTGCGGTGAGCCGAGATCGCGCCATTGTACTCCAGCCTGGGTAACAAGAACGAAACTCCGTCTCAAAAAAAAAAAAAAAAAAAATGTGAAGTCACATCGGAATTCCCTGAGGGGCTTCTTTAAAAAGCCATTTCTGAAAAAAATAAAAAAATTAAAAAAAAAAAAAAAAGCCATTTCTGGACTTCACCCATACCCATAGAATCAGAATCTCTGATGCATCTTAGTAAGCACTCCAAGAGAGTCTTGTGATAACTAAAATATACCAACAGCTCCTAACATCATGCCTCTCCTACTAAATAAGAAATAGCAAAAATTAATAAATGGCAGTCCAGATAGTCTTTCCTTTCCTGAATATAAAATATATCCTTATATCTGTTATTCTTTACTCAAAGGAGTTATTTTAACCAGCCTACTTTAGCATTTGTGAAAGATAGCTTCAATGTTACTTTTACTCTTCATTAAAAAGAATAACCTCTCAAATTACTTATGGAAAATTAATATGGCAGGTATTTTATTAACACCCTAGTATTTTTGCTCTTTGCCCTATTGCTACGGCTGCAAAACCCAAATAAAAGTCATCCTAAAATTGCTATGAGGAACCAAAAAAAAAGAATGAAACCTCTGGTTATAAAATAGTGTCCTAGAAGTTTTATCGTCAGCAAGTAAGTACCAAGGCCACTCAGTGTACTAATATTAGAAATGCAGGGCCGTGGCTCACGCCTGTAATCCCAGCACTTTGGAAGGCCGAGGCAGGTGGATGACAAGGTCAGGAGTTCAAGACCAGCCTAGCCAACATGGCGAAACCCCAACTGCACTAAAAACACAAAAATTAGCTGGGCATGGTGGGGCGTGCCTCTAATCCCAGCTACTCAGGAGGCTGAGGCAGGAGAATCGCTTCAACAGGGACCCGGGAGGCGGAGGTTGCAGGGAGCCGAGATCGCTCCACAGTATTCCAGCCTGGACTACAGTGCAAGACTCCTCCGTCTCAAAAATAATAACTCAGAAAACTAGTTCTAACAAAGCATATTTCTATTTTCTCCTGTCTTTTTTTGCATCTTAATCACTCTAAGCTATAAATTACACGACTTACAAAAATCGTGGTGGGATGAAGAAAACACCAATAGAAAAACAGATTTCTTGGCTAGTAACATGAAAGTTCTGCTTTATATATACAACAAATAAATAAGGTGCCAAAAAATGACATCCTTTTAAGGATCCGCACTCTCAATAAAATGTGCAATCGTATTTTGTTCACTGCACTGTAAGTTTGGAAAAAACGCCTTATCAACAGAAATAATTAATTCATTTCAGGAGAAGGGTATCATAAACCCTTTAAACTGTGAAAAAATATAGGCGCTCTCCCCAGAAAAAGGCGGGAAACGCCGGCCCAGTCCCCGGGAGCGCTCGCCGGGACGCCGGCGCCACCGCCCCTTCTCGGGGAACGGCTCGCGCCCCCACGGGAGGTCAGCAGGGCGGAGGCGCGGCGGGCAGGGTGGGGTCCGGCGCGCTACCTTCTCGGCGATGCTGTACAGGACCTCGTCCATCTTCATGCACGTGGGGTCCCAGTCGTGGCCGAAGCGGATGACCACCACGCGGTCCTCCTCCGACAGGATGGCCTGGTCCACCTGCCAGCCGTTGTGCAGGTGCGGGAGCATGTACGACATGGCGGCCTGCGCGCTTGCCGCGGCCTAAGGCCGGGCGCCAGGGAGGGCCCCGCGCAATGGGCACGGCCGGCCCTCGCTCCCCGGCCTCCACCGCCCGAGGCTCGCGCACTACACGCACTCCCGCCAGTACCAGCAAGCTCCACTGGGACTGCCGAAAGGCGGAACCTCTGGGCGCCCACGCACCAACGCCGTGCGTGAGGACGCCATGCGCGTACAGGCGCCGTCCGTGCGGACGTCATGCGCGTACAGGCGCCGTGCGTGCCGACGTCATGCGCGTACAGGCGCCGTGCGTGCGACGTCATGCGCGTAGAGGGGCCGTGCGTCCCGACGTCGTGCGGGTATAGGCGCGCGCGAGCGCGTCTTTGGCCGGGTGGGTCGCGGTTGGTGCTCTCCTGGTAGGTGTCCGAGTGGGGGTTCTTCTCCGGCGTCCAGGCGGCCTGGTGGTCTTGAGAAGCCCGGGCTCGCCGGGCCCTGCCCCAGCGCACCCGCCCCGAGGCCGCCGGCCGCTGCCCGGGCTGCCCCCCGTCACGGATGGGGGCTTCTTCAGAGGCCCGGAATGGCCGTCCTGGGCCTGGCTTTCTTCCTTTCTGGTGCCTGTGTCGGGTCGTCTGTGCCGTGTTAGGGACACGGTTCACCTGTGTCATTTGTGAAACTGGATCATGAAAACGGTGTCGTTGTTGCGTGTCCAGCCGCAGCAGAGTCGGGCGGCGGGGGCGGTGAGACTGGGCGGGCCGTCCTGGAGGAATGGCACCGGCGGGCCGGCTGCTGAGCTGCCTCTTGTAACTGCAAACCAGGTTTTCTTCTTTGTCTTTTTTATAAAGAAAAAATTACTTTGTTTTTTTGAGACGGAGCCTCTGCCGCCCAGGCTGGAGTGCAGTGGTGTGATCTCGGCTCAATGCAGCCTCCACCTCCCGGGAGAATCAAGCGACTCTCATGCCTCAGCCTCCACAGTAGCCGGGACCACAGGCACCAGCCCGGCTAATGTTTTTGTGCTTAGTAAGACAGGGTTTCGCCATGTTGGCGAGGCTGGCCGCGAACTCCTGACCTCAAGTAACCCGCCTGCCTCGGCCTCCCAAAGCGCTGAGATTGCAGGAGGGAGCCGCTGCGCCGGATCTGAAGCCAGTTTTATTTCATAGCTTCGGCACAACCTGCAGCACCTCCAGGCCTGATCTTGCCCCGTGGCTTCGCTCACCGGTCAGAGCTCCCCATGCCCTTACTAGTGCCAATGAACTTTCTCAAAGAGGAATAAGTTAACATTTCTCTTTTTAAAATAAAACCTCTAACCTCTTTGTTCTTCTGAGAGAGCACTTTGAGTTCATGCTAGAGACTCTCCCTGGCTTGCAAACTGATATTGACAGTAAAACTCTTGTCTACTGTCTAGCCATCCTGGTGGTCCTTTGAATGACAAATTTAAAACAAATCACAGCCGAGCGCTGTAGTTCACGCTTGTAATCCCAGCACTTTGGGAGCCCGAGGCCGGCGGATCACCTGTGGTCAGGAGTTAGAGACCAGTCTGGCCAACAGGGTGAAACACCGTCTCTACTAAAAATACAAAAATTTAGCTGGACATAGTGGCGCACCTGCAATCCCAGCTACTCAGGAGACTGAGGCTGAGGCAGGAGAATCGGTTGAGGTTGCAGTGAGCCAAGATTGCGCCACTTCAGCCTGAGTGACAGAGTGAGACTCCATCTCAAAAAACTCCAAAAAACAAAAACAAAAACAACAACACCCCCAACAAAAAATCATGCAGATGCTGTGTGTCTCTCATATGGGCTGTGGCATGGTGAGAACTGCAGTCTGAAGAGCCTGCTGGCCTGGGGATAAAAATGGGTTCTACGTTTGGTTTCCTCTGGGGCACAGCACCGTAAGGTGCTTTGATAATATGCACCCACAATTTAAATGTTAGAATCACAAGTGCAGCTCACTGCCAGATTGTTTTTTGTTTTTTTTTTTATAATAGAGACCAGGTCTTGCTATGTTGCCCAGGCTGGAGTGCAGTGGCTGTTCATAGGTGTGATCCCACTACTGATCAGCATGGGAGTTTTGACCAGTGCCATTTCTGACCTGGGCCGGTTCACCCCTCCTTAGGCAACCTGGTGGTCCCCCGCTCCTTGGAGGTCACCATATTGATGCCGAACTTAGTGCAGACACCCCATTGGCCTAGCACACTACAGCCCAGAACTCCTGGGCTCAAGCGATCCTCCCACCTCAGCCTCCCGAGTAGCTGGGACTACAGGCACGCGCCACCGTGCCCCAGCAGATTAAGCTTATTACATAATACAGAATATTTCCCAATTATATACGAAATGCTTTAATGTAATAAGAATTTCAGGTTGGTAGGGTATTAGAGATCATCTTAATCTCTTCCATTTTATAATTGAGTAGAGCAGAGGCACAGAATATAAGCGTCGTGATTGAGGGCTCATAAAGATGTGTTCAGGTTCATCTGTGCCTTCTGTAAGTTATCTCAATAAACTTCAGTGTCCTCATCTGTTAGATGGGATGAAGAAGCAAAATCCCCTGTACTTCATTGGCACAAGGTACACACTGGAGAAATCTGAGCCCTTATTAAGGTCAGGTTATTGACTTCTAAAAAATTACATCATTTTGTTAGTCATATGGTTCAGATATAAACACAGTTGCTTAACACATCACAAGCGTTTTATTCACAGAAGAGTTGTTCCAAGCTAAGGCATAAGACTCAAATGTTCCCAGATAATTTATTGAAATTCATTTTTTTATTGTGTTATTTATAATATCGCCTTAATTTTTAAGGGCATTAAGTACGTTCATATTACGCAACCATCACCACTATCCAGATACATCTGTACTAAACATTTTGGTTGAGATCTAATCCATGTACTATAAAATTTGCCAATCTAAGGTGAGGTGGTTTTTCAGTGTTGTGGAACCAATACCACAATCTAATTTTAGAAGAATGCTATCACCCCAAAAAAAACCCTATACCCATTAACAGTCATTTCCCACTTCCCTCCCATTCCTTTAGCCCCTGGCAACCACTAATCTGTTTTCTGCCTCTATAGATTTGCCTATTCTAAACATTCCATATAGATGAAAACACAAAATATAGAGTCATTTGTAACTGAGTTCTTTCATTTAACATAATGTTCTCAAGGTTCATATAGCAGACATCAGCAGCTATTTTTTATTGCTAATTAATGTGTCATTACGTAAACAAAACAAAAAATTTTAAAACTATTCCGTTATATGGGTATACTACATTTTATTATCCAACAGTTGATCGACATTTGGGTTGTTCATTTTTTGACTATTATGAGTAGTGAATGCTATGAACATTCATGTACAAGCTTTTGTGCGGACTTAAGTTTTCTTTCTTTCTTTCTTTTTTGTTTTTTAAAGGCGGGGTTTCACCATGTTGGCTAGGCTGGTCTAGAACTCCTGACCTGGTGATCCACCCGCCTCAGCCTCCCAAAGTGCTGGGATTACAGGTGTGAGCCACCACGCCTGGCCTGACTTAAGTTTTCATGTGGTAACTTTAACATTTTTATGTACTGCCAAATGTGTTCCAGAGTAGCTACATCATTTTACATTCTCACCAGCAATGTGTGAGGGTTTCAATTTTTCCACATTCTTGCCCATACTTGTTATTTATGTACCTTGTGAACCCCAGAAATCTGAGACAGGCCTCAATTAATTTAGAAAGTTTATTTTTCCGGGGTTGAGGATGTGCCTGTGACAGCCTAAGGAAGTCCTAAGGTGGTCAGGGCACAGCTCGGTTTTATACATTTTAGGGAGACACGAGACATCAGTTAGTACATGTAAGAAGCAGATTGGTTCAGTCTGGAGAGGCAGGACGACTTGAAGCAAGGGCAGGAAGACTCAAAGCAGGAAATGGGCTTCTAGGTCACAGACAGGTGAGGGATGAACAGTTGCATTCTTTTGACTTTCTGATCAGCCTTTCCAAAGGAGGCAATCAGATATGCATCTATCTCAGTGAGCAGAGGGATGACTGACTAGAATGGGAGGCAGATTTGCCATGAGCAGTTCCTAGCTGGAAGGGACCCAAGATAAGTTTCTTTTCACAGCCTTGTATTATGGTCATCCTGGTAGGTATAAAATAATATTGTGGTTTTGATTTGCATTTTCCTAATGGTTAGTGATTGTTCCTCAGTGGCCAGGCCTATACATATCTGCCCCAAAGTCAGAGGAAGCTGAGAGGCCAAAGAAAGAGGCTGGCAAATCTAGTTCCTTAGAGAGAAACATTTGATAGGAACTTAGGAACAGAAACCACATCTGTGTCTCTGGCAGTGGTGAGACAAGATGGTCGAACCCCAACCATCACCCCTAGACCCTGGGCTTACATACCGTGAAAGGAAAATAAATCTTGCAACCCCAAACTCATTAAGCCAAAGGGAAAAGTTAAGCTGGGAACTGGGTCAGGCAAACCTGCCTCCCCTTTTGGTTCCTGAATAAGATGCCTACAAGATGAAAACCTACATGCCCCCCCCCATTTTGCCCACAAGGAAATTCGTAGTGAGCTCCAAGATTTTTTCCCTAAGGTGGTTCTGTTAAAATTTCACCGTGGTAATGTAAACTGATAGCTTATGTTTGCAGGTACAGTCCCCCGACCCCCACCACCAGATGCAAATGCGTATCTGAGTGTTCCCTGCCCTGTTTTGTCTATGTTGTCTTACTTATTAATGCAGATTCCTCTGCCCCATTTGTCTGTGTCATCTTATGTAAAATAATAATAATAATGCAGATTCACTGAGCCAAAGGCATGAATGACTATTTTTCCCTACCTGCCTCTTGAAAATTGTGTACTTTTCAATATCCCACTCTGCCCTTTGAATTTGAAGGCGTCAAAATCATCTTTGGAGGAAGGCATAGACCTGTCTCCCAAGCACAAGTCCTCACCTTTGACAAATAAGCTTCCTAAAATGACTGAGACCGGTCTCATCATTTTTCTCAATTGACATCTGGTAACCACTAAGGGAACCTGAGTGAAGCTGGCCCAGCTGGCAGCAGCTCTCCTGTTGGTGCTTGGTACTGGTCTGGTCACCTTATACCTGTTATATCCGAGCAAGTAAAGAAATGCACCACACTCTGAGGTTTGAGTTACAAGTCCTTTATTGCTGGCGACCAAGAGACAGCTAACGCCCAAAATTCCCTGGGCCCACATTCACCCTAGCCACTCGCCCATCAGGCTCATGGCTGATATTGGTGGCAGGCTAATGTAGAGGATGCTCTCTTTGGCTGCTCACCAACAAGGAGGTTCAACCCAGGCTCAACTAGAGACACCTGTTGAGCAGCTGGGTTGCATGCCCATTTTCCTTGTCCCTGCTGCCTTTGCAGAACCATGGGCAATCTTGTCCTCTATCCCTCCCTCCTTTCTGCTGGCCTGTGTTCTAAA